ATGTGTGTGATTGTGGGTGACTTCTGAGTACATTGCTGTTCATGAAGAAGCAATGAATTGCTGGCAGAGAAGGTGGGAGTGCTGTTACATAAGTTGGAGCTATCCAGGATATATTTGCCTTGTTCTCAGATGCTTTGTACATTTCTCTTCAAAAAAAAGGGTAGAACAGGTATAATTGCTGAATATTGGCCACATCTTACCTTAGATTACCTAAACTCTCCCTACAGAGTCCCTAGATTTCTGATCATCCTTATAAGGGATAAATACTGCCAAAATGCTTGTCGGTAATTAGAGAGGATCTACAAAAGAGATCCGTATCGGGGGATTCTTATCATTTGTAGGCAAAAGAATGATAGATACCTTCCACTGAAGTAACATCACTGATTTCAAAGCACTCTTCAAGTCCTAGGCAGGGTACTTGAGAAATGAAAATTCTTGTTTTCTTGAGAACACATCAGGCTCTGGAATGATAAATGACAATGTTAAAATCAAAGTATTTCCTTTCTGTCTCATACTGAAATCTCACTGATATTTCTGAGAATTAAGCAAATGAGTCAAGTTAAGAGCATCCTTGACCACCTTGGGGCTTTTAAATAGTAAAACTTTCTGCCTCTCTTAAAACATATCTAGGTATTTCCTGAATAGAAGTCTTACAGTGCACAGCAATGTAGTGCAACTTTTTATTGTGGGAAATTAACAATATTGTATCTAATTGAAACTTAATGCTTGTTAAATATAAAACTTGGCAACATTAGATGCTACATGCATTAGTTAATAACGATATTGAACACTTCAAAGCTCAGATTAATCTGAAGCTCTCCAAGTAATAGACTTTGTGAAAAGCTCTCCAAATATTTTCATCCGTGGCTGCAGCTTCCCAATGTATCAGTTCTTTGTCTTTTTCCTGGTGCACTGATTGCAACTGTCACTGAGTCACACAGCTTACTGTGGGACTGCAGCCAACTTGATTACAACAACAACTTGTGAACCATAAAAAGGTACTCTCAGACCTTAAGGAGAGCTGAATGCTAAAGAAAAAGGACACTAAATCCATTTGAAAAAGAGCAGGCTCAAAGAGTATTTTTGCATCATTCTCACTAGATTATCAGTAAAGAAATTAGTCCATAATGGATAAATTAGTTCTTTTGAGGCATCAAAGACAGCTACAGATGGAAAAGATTTTAAAGTCATCTGGAATTTACCAGGTGCTGTTAGCTCAATGATCACAGACACAAAGATTTAGTGGCAAATGCAAAGAAAAATCTTAGTTCCTGTCAATGTGATTCAAAAAAATTAATTTTTCAGTAAAATAACTACTCACCAGTTGTTTAGAAATATTTGGCATCTTCGGTAAGTAAACAATAAATCTTAAATTTTGTTATACACCAACAGATACACAGATGATCTTTACTCCACAGCTGGTAAACACAGGGTAGGAACGAACTAAGCTACTGTCCTTTAAGGAGGGTGGGAGGGGTGGGGTGGAAAGCACTGTTAATAGAAATAATATCACAGCCTTTTTTGATTACTGACTAAAAATTTGTCTTTCCATCTTCCATATCACAGCGTGGCTCACATCAATAACTGGGGAAAAAGAACTTGAGCTCCCAGTGTTTTAACATATATATCTTACATGAATTCAAAGGGAGTTGGATATATTGATAACTTTAAAAGGTTTCAGTCCAGTTGCTCAGACACTACTTTCATTTAAAAACTCAGTTTTGCATTAAATAAGCCAATACTGAGTATTGAGATGTGAGACATCAATTTGAGTTATGCAGCTGCACTGACATGAGTAACCTCATACATATTCTTTTTTTCCTATAGTACCCAAGTTTATATTAAAACTACCCAGAGTAATTCACTTCCACACTCACAGCAGGAACTGACTTCTATCGTAATTTCCTAATTAGGAGGAAACATCCAAGTTTCCATCCTAAAGTTACTTATGACCATCCTAAAGTTACTTACATCTATGTTCTCAAGACACCATTGTCTCTCACTTCAATATCTAATTTCCACCTTGAGGCATTGCTAGACCTTAGCTAACACAAGTCCCCATACTTTTGGATAAACCAGACCAAGGTCTCTCTGTCCCTTCTTCCCACATGACAGGCTTTCCATCTCCAACATGTGTTGGACAGCTCATCCCAGCATCTTCCTGAGCTTGAATTTATGCTACTTGAATGTAAATCACAGAATATTTAATATGAAGTACTGCAAATACATGCACTGCACTAAAGGTATTAATCTTCCTGCGTCTTCAATAAGCCTATGAATGCATAGGCATTTCTTTTTCTGTGGTTATGGCAAGTTAGTAGCTCAGAATAATTTTGTACCCATTAATGTACTCATGTAGCTCTCCTTCTGAGCAGTTTTTAGATAAAGAGGCCAGATCTTAGAGTAGAACTTTTGTCCATTGTTCATAACCTTTTCTTTTAGCCTTTGAATTTCATTTCTGTTAATCCAGTCCTCTCAATTATCCCATTCTCTCTGCACGATCTCTATGATGATCACTTTCCTCTGCCAGTAGCCCCCTACCCACCTGTGACACCTACATGCATGGGGTACAAATGATGTGCATCTGAAAGACAGTGCTGGAGGAACTCTGCTTGGTCCCTTTCCAGCTCTATGCTTTACTTTCAGCACTTGATGAGAAACAAATGCTAGACACAGACATCACTGCTCCCACGTTTGTTTCTTTTTTGTTGTTGTTTTTTAAAATGAGATTTTAAAACAAGTTTTGTAGAATCATTATTATATTATCCATATTATCCAAATCATTAGAGACATTAGAGGCAGAGGCTCGATTCTCTCACCTGAAGGCCTTAAAGCCATTTCAGTTCTTCAGCGTTCTCCCTACTGCCACATCTCACAAACAAGCAAACTGCCAGCAGATGTTAAAATGGGAGCATTTTAATGATTTCAGAACATTTAAGGGCAAATAAATAGTACTAATTTTCAGAGTAATTATGGAACAGAATCAAAGTCTGAAGCTTGATTTAATGTAGAATTTGGTTTGGAAGCAATTGGAAGATCTGTAGCTTCTCTACTTCCATCCAAGTTTGAATCAAAACCATGAAAGTCAAAAGACCTTGTGAGAAAGGAGTTTGTCAGATTTATTCAGATCTGTAGGTTCAAACATGTCTTGGAACACTAGGGCAGAAGCCATCCTTACTGTTTCAGTTTAATCTGCAAATCACAAAACTGCATCAGAACCAGCAACAATTTATATAATTCTTTAATTCTTTACAGTTCCAGTATACAAGGCAAGACATAAAGACTAAACGAACACCTACTATCTGCTTTCTCTCATTTCTTAGATTGTAAACTGTTTGAGGTAGGGCTGGTTTCAAGATTATTCTGTTTCCATAGTGCTTGGCAAAATAGGTCTTATTCTCTGTGGGTACTATTGTAGGAAATGGCATTTCTCAAGAAGTATGGACAAAACCTGCCTTGTTATAAAGGAATCATGGATAATACTAATGTCTTAAATATTTCCTCTTAATTTCTATGTTCTGTAAATATACATTTTTTAAATTTTACACAGTAAATAATGAAGTACATATATTTGCTCTACAAATAGCATTGTTCTGTTAATATAACGACCAAATCCAATTTGCAAATATACATAAATTTAATCAGGTTTTAGAAGCTATTTTTAGTTCTTTCCATCAAGCAGCAATGTGTATGGTATGAAAGTCCTGGATCACCCCTTTGTGCAAGAGGACAATAGGATTTAAAATTATATTCTTGATTTTCTGAGACTGACTAAAGTGCTTCGGCATAGCTGAACTGTGCAGGTGTGGGAGTAAGAGACAGGATTGCTTCTCTTCAGCCTCATCTGATTTTCACTACAGCAAACAGCTTCTTCCCCTTTATGAAATGCGTGGCAGTTGATAAGCATTCTGCTCCTCTTGTAATCTGGGATGCTGATGAAGTGTTTCCACTTACTCATTCTAGATGGAGAATATAGGCAAGTACAAGGCAGAACACTTAGTGGGAATTATGCTTTGTGTTTTTTGTGGAATTCTTCTGTCGCTTAATTAATCTCCTTATATCTGCATAGTGCCTTGTTTTTAATCTTTCATACACCTATACAGCCATTCACAAATACATGTGTAGCCATGCATATATGCACAAGTACATACATAGATATACATATGCATGAACATATTAAAAAGGAAGTATTTATAAAGTAATAAACTTTCTCAGCTGCTTTTCTTCCATAGAATTATACCTACTGGTCAGTCTTCGATACTGCTAGAGTCAACTTGGCTACAGGGCTCAAGGATCTTGCTGAGCTAGCTTTGAATATACACATAGCAAGGAATCAAAGAATGGAAGCCTGATAGCTTTTGCAGAAAGGAAAAGGAGGCACCAACATGATTCCCTATCTATAGCTCACAGGAAATGCATTGGGAGACTAGATTATTGCTGAATTATCTAGATCATATGCCTAAAGATTTGTGTTGTATATTTTTTCCTGCTGTGATTTGCCCAAGGTTGCACCAAGTCTGTGTGGTAAGAACATGAATTGATTCCAGACGTCTTGATTTCCATCGAATATGTTAACCACACATTATTCTCCTGCAGTTAGTAGAGAATATATATACCTGAAAATATTACATATCTGAGATTGCTAGGAACTGTTATTTATCTTGACTGGCTATGAAACAATTAAGAATAATAAGAGTAAGAATACTAAAAGTGGGTTAGCAAATATTTTGGGAAATTAAGAAGTTTTAAGAGCCTCAAGAGAAAATCAAAGAGCAAAACTTTCTTGGAAGTCAATGGAAACAGCAGCTGATTGACATATTGTATATAGAATTCCAATAAACCCAGTGAAAGAGTGCTAATAAAATAACCATTGCTTTCTTCAATTACCTGACAACAAAGAATCTTGCTATTTACAGGACAGGGACTACATAAAGAGCTGCAAGAGGCTGTCCAATGGAAAATAAGTTCTGAGGATGTTCTTCAAACTCCTGTCTTTTTAGATTCCTGCCAATGAAGTCTTGAGATATTGTCTGCTTGCTGCTGTGCCCTCCTGAATGAACCTAGTGATTACCTGTATTCAAACTGATAACAATCTGAGCAGCACTCCTGTAAGTATAGTTCAAGTTTCAAAACAGAAAAACAAAGTACATTTATCTTCTGGCATGAGGAGGAGTTAAGCAAAACAGTCATTCAGCACATTCAGCTTGAGTTCCTGCTGAAGCCATCAGAGATGTGTTGATGTGGTATGTCATGGTTTAAATGGCTTCATAAGATAAATATTTGTCAAAATATTTTGTGCCATTTTTTCTTTTTCTGAACTTTAAAACAAATATTCATACTGCCAAATTTGCTTGTAAATCTTCAATTTTGCTTTTAGAAGATACGCTTCTTGAGATCTCTTGCCTAGCTGACAGTGCAAGGCGTTGTCACAGGAGATACATTGTCACATGAAATTTATACTTTCACAATTATTTGCTAACCAAACTACTCCATCAGCCTTGTGTTCCAGGTATTAGTTAAGGCAGTCCTGAAGCTATCTGACCCTGGGACAAACAAGAGCTGCGGAATGTAAAAGAAGCAGCCTCTCCTGTTGACGAAACCTCTGGACATTTCAGCCAGATTCACTTAGATTCAGATAGATCAGATTGCTTTTCCTTTGTTCTTTAATCTTTCCACCACTTTTTTTCCTTCCTTCTATAATGTCAATAATGTTGATTTTTGTTTTATCTCCCATTAGTAACAGAGCCAATCAATGGCTTTCAGGACTGGTGACAGCTGACATTTACTATGGAATAACCCAATCTGCCATATCATTGCCATCTCCCGTGCTGGCCATAACTATACTTCACTGCTCATAAAGATGCTAGTGATTACTTATATCAATTGAAACACATGCAGTAAGCTTTGACAGCATCATAATGAATCTTCTGAGGACAGTTCTCTTGTGGTTCAGATGCTTCGCTGTTTCTCTCAGATTCTTCTTTTTCAAGTCTACCACTTAGTTTTCCACAGTCTTTTGTCATTTGCTCAGAGTTAAGGTGAAGAAATGTGAAGTTCTAAAGCTGATGCATCTATTGCTTTCCAAATTCCACAGAGATTCTTCAAACACTGTGCAGCAAAGTAAATTTCTCCAGCAAGTCAAGCTAATATGAATGAAAAAAGAATCCAAAAATCACTGATGTAAAATTATGTATTTTCACGATCAAAAGGCTCTCATGGGATAGAGAAACACACAATATATGCTGCTCTGAAATTACTCAGAACAGCTGAAGAATTCATCCTGCTATTCTTAGAAACAGTTCTGAGAACACTGCCTTTGCTGTATGATCACAAATAAATCCTATTTCAGCACAAAATCCACAAAGACTCTGAAGGTGGCGCCTTTCTGTGGCACCTTCAGATCAGGATACCCTATTCCATGATTTTGGATGAATCCTTGAATCTTTCTGAGCAGAATTGTTACTATCACATCACTGCCATCCTGATAATAGATAATAGCTCTCTTCTCATTGTTGACTGAATAATCACCAGCTGAAAAATGCAGTAGCTAGTATCAAACTGTACGCAGGGAGCAGGAGTTTCAATATGCATCAGCCAACATGATGAACAGCTCTAAGATGAAATGGTTTTCTCTGACTTGAAATAATCTATTTTTAATATTAAATTTTTAAACATGAGACTGAGTAATTATATAGTTATTCATGTAGAAGCTCTTCCCGTATTACGTGCTTCTCAGACTGCACCTAACAAAGTGTGACTAGCATTTAAAATAAATCCCTTTCCTGATCGCCCCATCCACAGAAAACATTTCAAGGAAAGATCCAATACACAGGAGGTAACTTCTACTCTCATTCATATTTACTTGAAATCCATCTTTTTAGATTTCAAAGTTGTTCCTGAGCTCATTTCGCACTGATTTTGCATTCTCTTCCTCTCTTCTTTTTCCGCCCTTCTATGAATCATTCTTTCACGCATACCACACGTTCTTTCAAACAAATGCGACCTGTAATTCTTGTACAAAAACTGGAATTGGTGAAAATTTGATATTTCCCTAACAGTTTCATTGAAGATTTCTACTTCAGACATACTTCCTCTGCAATATATTACTAATTTAGTATCCTAAATAAGATATATAAATCTGCCAGGTTTTATAATGCTTGACTATATGAACAAACAAGTTCCTAACAACTGGAAAGAAGAGAAATGCAATCCCTTTCCACTAAGACTGGTGTGTAGAATAGGCCGAGACTTCCATCAGACTATTTGCATGAGAAAGCTTTCTTTAATAAAGCCATGTAATCATATAATGCAGACTATTCCTGTAAAACACCTAAGTAAATTTTTTTACACCATTTTCGTGTTCTGCTACTTTGGATCTGCCATCATTAGGATCAAGATCTGAAATAACCCTTCAATAATACCCTATTTTTTTTGTTAGAGTTGTAACACCCTTATGGTATGAAGTCCATTACTGTCATATACTACAAATCAGGAAATTGTGTGGAATCATATTTGCCCATTGCTATTTTCTTTATGCCATTTGTATATTTTTTCCTGATTTTTTTTTTTTCTATTTACGATGCTTTTGTTTCCTACAGAAGAGGCTGAGCTACCAGAAATCAATATATAAAATAGCTAATCAACATACATGAAGAGTCAAAAAAAAAAATTAAAAAAAAAATCTGTGGAGACCAGTGCTCTGCTCTGTGAGAAGTTTGTAGAAAAAGACATTAATAAAAAGTAATTAACTGTGCCCACTTATGTTCCTCTTGTTTGAAATACAGTTTTAGATCTTATCTGAAATTAGGAAACATACAAACACAAACCTACATATGCAACTAATTTCATCAAAGGGATGGGAGAGGTGACTAGAAGAGATCAAATGCTGAAGCCATACTTTGCCACAAGAAAAAGTGAGCATCTGGGAGTGGAAGGGGTAAAAAAAATTTTGCCCATATGTTCTAATTATTGACATTCAATGCCTTTGTCATCTGCCAAGAGTGGGGAAGCATAACAGCAAGTATACTGTCCTCACGGAAATGTCTGATGGTTTCTTTCCCCATATTTCATTTTAAAAAGTGATAGATCATAAAAGACTACCGTGTAAGAATCAAGGCAATGTTGTCCCTTCCGGCTCCTTCCAGTTATGGTTTCATCCAGAACCTACAAAGGGTCAGGAAGGCTCTAGAAGATGGACCTTGCACTTATGGAGAAGCAGATGGACTTGTCCTGTGACTATAAAGATTTCGGTTCTAATATTCTCTAATATAATACCAGTTCCTTGAGATTTCCCTTGCCTGGGGCAGGGAGGGGCTGAGCTGTGAGCCCAGAGTTGGCAGTACTGGCAGCACTTCCCCCCAAGTTTGTTTCCTTTTTCTCCCAGTGCCACATCACATGTGTGTGGGACATGTTTTTCACCACAGTGAGAAATAAATTTAACTCACAGGACTCTTATTACTCAAATGGAATGAGGCATATATTTAATATCAGTGCCGGCATTTTCGGAAAGCTTTGTCAGTTATGTTTCCTGCTGCATTCAGAATTCTCATCTGCTCAATAAAACAGTTCCTACCTCTGTCCACCCCCCAGACAATCTCAATTGCCAATTTTCAAGTCAAAATATTCCAGCTCTTTAGAGCTCTTAGAGCTTCTTCCTCTTAAATATACATGTGTGTGTGTGTGTGTGTGTGTGTATAGTGCCAATACTAATAAGCAGATTTAGTGCCAAGCTTCTGCTTGGTTCAGTCACACATCTTAGTCAAATTTTCAGAATTGAGTAAAAGCATTAAGCACTCTTCTTCTATTGTCCATTTTTCAATGAATTACTCAGTAAGCATAAAGCAGTAATTGGCTGCTGAATCTTGTGCCATATATCCTGACTCTTCCTGGGGCCACAAGTACAAACACTGAATGAGACTCAGGTTATTCATGTTTTCTTATGCAGGACTGGCAGGTGGGCCAGTAACTGACATCTCCATGTAGATTCAGTTCTTGTTGATACAAGGGGCTGTTCCCACACAGCTGATGTTTGCGTGAATTTTGCCAGCAAATTCAAGAAGATCAAGATTAGCTCTCAAGCAAGTAATTGAAAATGTAAACCAATTCACTTTTGCTACTCAGATTATCTTTTCTGTGTTACTGGTTGCAGATGAATTCAAGTCTGTGTAAAGACATCTATCTGTCATCAAGCCCTCTGAGACAGGTGATTGTATACACATGTAATTTTGCACATCCTTATTTCAGTTGAAGCAATACTAACAGCATATAGTAGTTGCCAATCTTTAGTTCCTAAACAAAAAGCTGTTTATTAGACAACTAAGAATATCTATATGCACGCAAAATCTAATTTCAAAAGGAACACATTTACCTTGGAAGTTACCCTGCTTACTAGAAAAACAAGCAAGTCTCAAGTCCTGAAATTCTGAGCTAACAAATATATTCTTAAGCTGAAGGTATTCTGAGTTCACAGGGCAATTTAAAATGTTGTCCATAATTTTGTGCACCACAGATAAAATACTACCATTATATTTCTGAAACATCTGCCCTTTCTTTGCATGAGTGTTGTGACAGTCAGGCTTAAACTGATCAGAATAATCAAATAACATGGTGATAGTACATAGAATAAACATTGCAGAGAACATAATATAATTTCTTTCATTAATTCTGCATAGCACATTCTCTGCTAAGCATAAGAATGACAGTGAAATGCATGATGTTTTATCATGCAAATACTTTACACATTAAATGAACTGAAAATCTGATCAGTTCATTAACAATTATCTTCCTGCATAAAAGATCTCAGCTATACTTCAGTATAACAGAATATACAGTAAAGATTGCCTAAGTTTTAAGTCCACATCTGATATAGTAAGCAGAGATAACTCTGCTTGTGCATGATATGGCTGTCCTGGAACTTCTGATTCCTAGCAAAGATCAGTCAAGCTGGTTGGACTTGTAAGAATGGAGTGTTATAAGCCCAGGATGCCCCTCATGGACAGAATATCAGTCTTCCTTACCTCTCTGCTTCTTAATGTATGTGTGTGTTTCTGTACACACTGGTATGCAGTAGAGGACTTAAGGGAATGTTGTAACTCGTAAATAAGTAACTTGATGGGACACCTGTGTACAAAGAGTGTTATCTTAAGAACAACACAAAAGCTTTATCTGTAGCTTCGCCAAAATGAAGCAGTGTGTGTTGGTTGGCTGTTCTTCACACTGGGATTGGAATGTTCAAACAAGTCCCTTTAAGGTAGACTTAGAGCACTGAAGGGGTTTATGCGCTGCACAATTAGCCTGAATTTTTAGCGCCAAGGAAAAGCAAGTCAATGTAATTGTGTTACAGCTTGGGAATAGCAGGTTTCCCCACTGGAAATACAGTGCAGGAGGTAGAGCAGTTACCAGGGGATTCAAAAAGTACTTGGATTAGTTTAAACAATGAAAAACAAGTTAATTGATTTCATTCATGACTTAAAAAAAGAAAAAAGCTATGCCAGAAGTTCAGAATACAGTCACATTTTAAAACTGAACACCAGCAAATTATCAGCTGGTGCCTGGCCAATTATGTATTTCTTAAGCAGATCTGTGCAGATAATCACATTGCTTATAAGGAAAGAAAGAGAGAAAAGGGTTTTTAACTCCAATATCTGCCTGCATTTTCAGTCATTCTTCTATCCTGAGAGCATCTGGATTGTAATGCATTGTGCTTTCCTTAATACCTTTAATAGTTCAGGAGAAGCATCCTACAAAAACTGCTGCTGGTAACCTGCTTGGTTCTAAACAGTAACCTGCTTGGTTCTAAACAGTAACCTGCAACATGCTTTCCTCTGATGAAAAACAGACTCAAGCAAGGTTATGGGAATTCCCTAACCACAGCAACTTGCGCCTTTCCACACTGCTGAAAGTCAGTGCAGGTCAACTATGGTCAGCCACCCAACTCTTCTCAGGCTAGGGACATTGAACCTTTAGATATTCTCGGTACTCAAAGACTGTTATCTTGCACATGAGAGGTAGAATCACGTATACAAATATTCCAGCACTGAAAATGGATCCTGAGATGCTTGGACCTACAGCTGAAACATCTAAAAGCTTAGATCCAGCCAAGCTGAAGTCAGCACTTGCCTTCATATTTTCCTTCATTGCAGGCTTCGAGATACAAAACGCTGTTATCAGCATCTCATGTTAAGCCTGTAATATTTAATTTTGAATATTTGTACAATTGCCTTAAAAGCTTTTATGCATAAGGCACAATAGAGGTAAAAAAATGCTTTCAGTACGAAACTTTTAATATAATCCTCTGATTTCCTGAAACATGATTTCCTTCTGCCTATTTAGTAAGTCAATTAAAAAGAAGCTAAATCCTGACTTTAGAACTGAGTATCAATGGCACTCACAGCTCAAAAATAATGCCACCCACAAAAAATAACTGAGTGAATACATTCAGATTTTTTTTTTTTTTTTTTTTTTTAAAAAACAAGATCTTTCTAAACAAAAGTTTGCACCAATAGCAGATTTTAGTCACTTCCTTTCTCCTTCCTACTGCACAGTGCTGTAGTACATTCTCCAGGCCTTGAGCCAACTGGCATGGCCTCATCCTATCAGCACTGCTAATGCCTCTCTCTGCCCTTCCAAGTCAGTGGCTATATGCAAACCACTACTGGAAGTGGTCACTAGCCTATGTTGACTCCTAAATTATACTTAGAGGTTGTCTGGCAGAATACTGCAATGGGCAGCATAATATGACAGCACAGGCAGGTGGGTTCTACAGCTGGGCATAGCCAAAGAGCAGATACAATTGTTGTTTGTTTGTTTGTTTGTTTTAATAAAAACAGAAAGCAAGTAGTCATCTTGTATCAAATATGTTTTATGACTCATACATAAACCCACTATCAAGTAAAACTGCAACACAGAATGGTTTTATTTCATAAATTACCCACTTCTCACTGGGTCAAAGCCCATCCTTATCCATTTAAGCACTTCAGCTGGTAACTTTTTCCTTGCACTGAAACCCTGACTGGATTACTAAAGCATCTTGTAGCAATTGGACAGAACAGTATGATGGGAAAGGCATTAACAACAAAGGAGTGACAACAGAAAGACTAGCATGATACAAAGATACTATAAAGGAAGAGAAAATTGCTCACCTGTATCAGAAGATTCTAGGTTTGTAAGGGAAAGCTTCACTAAGGAAAGACCTTCAGAAAGAGACCCTTCCCTAGTGACAGTCAGCCACTAAATGGGGCCTAAGAGAGGTGCAGCCAGGCTCCACCCCTTCTGGTCATGCATGTGAATTGTCTTCACCTGTGCTCTCAGGGCTGACCAGTTCTTTTCCCTGAGTGCTCTATCAGTGGCTCAGGCCATGACTCAACAGTTACACGTCTCATGTAATATGAAAGAATATTTGCATAAAATGAAATCAATACCAGCCACACACTAATAAAACTCAGGCACTACTAAAATATTTAACTGGTTTATCTCACACTACTTAACAAAGGTGTAAAGTTTAACACCATTTTAAAGATGGAGAAATGGAATGTGAGAAAATTAAAGCAATGAGATTAAGGCCAAGAAGACAGCTAGGAAGAGACAGGAAAGAACTGGAGCTGTCTCTACGTTGCAGAATTTTAGCCACATTCATGAGAGATTTATATCATTTTGGATAGAAGAGATTGAAACATTGGATTCTGCTCTGAGTTATATAATTTTGAGTTTTAAATCTCAGTTGTGATCTTGTCTGAGATCAGTCTCTAACTGATTTATTGTTATTTATATAAATACCAGTTAACAATGAGATACACTTCAAATCACAAGGAAGTGAGAGTTTGGTAAGAGGAAGATTAACACAACTAATAAAAGTTTTTTTACATAAGAAAAAGTGGGCAAAGAAAAGGACTTTTTATTTAGACAAATTAAAGAACCACTATGTTCAGCCATGGCCAACTGCTTAACCACGACTTTGTGATGAATTTGACAGAAACATATCCACTTTCTCCCAGAGAACTGCTTATGCCAAGTCTTTGGGAAAGGGGAATATGTTGTAGCCACAGAAGCTGCCCCTGACCATCTGGGAATTGCTTTTATACAGAGCCTATCAGCAATCCAGTTTTGTCTCATTGGAGTAGAGCAGAGTTGCTAAGCTGGCCTGGGGTCAGTGTCTTCGTATTACAGAAGAGAAATTTAGAGACTCCTCGAATGACAACATAAAGTAAAAAAAACACAAAAACAACCCTGATTTGTTGCATTCATATATTCTGCCTTCTATTTAAAGGAGAAAAAAGGTTTTGGATTGATTAACATTGCCAAGGAGGGATTTGGAAATACCAGAGTAGAAATGTCTCGCTTTGCTCTATTTCAAAAAGATAATTGTTAAGTAAACAGAACTTTCAAAGTAAGAGCTTTGCTCTACATAGCAAATAAGCACTTAATCAGGCATGTAAATGGAAGAGAGGCATCTCAGGTATTTTCTGAAGGTAATTTAGAGGCACTTAGGACTGCTGTTATGTGCTCAAGTTGGTACCTCAGGTAGACTTATAGAACTGGTCAGAAGAAAAAGTAGATAAAAGTTCTTTAGAGCTGCACTGAAGACTAAAGATCATTCTAGATGTGCCAAAATTGCTAGGAAGTGTTTTATATTTATTTTTCTATGTTATTCCTGGAGAAAAAAGGGCTCTTTCTTTTTTTTTCTGGTTAGTCACATGTGTGAGAAACAGAAAGATTCTTGCTAAAGCAGAATAAGGGTAGTAGGAAAAATCCCTGAGGAAGCTGTAGAACCAAAAAAGTGAATTATGCAGGCATATATTTGAAGTTCTGTATTCAGAAAGAAAATATGGCAAACAAGGACTATGAGGAAGTACTGGGAAGAGGATGCAGATATTCTGAGGGGAATTACTGTTGCTCATTTCTCTTCCTCAGCTGATCAGTCTGCTTTCGGGTGAAATACTGAGAAGATGTGATGCGTCACCTCTCCAACACTGCAAGGAATCTGTTTAAAGGCAGACTTCACACATGTAATCTGTTCATGTCTGTTGCTAATATAGGTATGACTGGGAAGGATGCACTCCTAGCTGAGCAGGAAATATAGTGTCATTGACATGTTCTGTGACAGGGAGACTCGGAGGGCTGCATTTACCCATACCTTGTATCTTCTTCACTAGTGCTGCTGTTTGTGGGTCCACACTCCAACCTAAATGGCACAAGGCCACCTTTACAGCTGGGGCTCCATCTTTTTTTGGGTACTGTTACAGGAAGAAGTCAAGCTGTTGTTCTCCAAGCAAAAGACTAAATGCACATGCTGTCTGGCAGTTCTCTAGCCAAAATATGATACAAATTCCCTTGGACAGTTTGGGTATGTATGACTTGAACTCCCTTTCTTCTGGTTCTATGAGGTGGAGGTCATTTTGCCAGGTTTTTTTTCCCAACTATACTTTTTCTATTTGACAGCTGTCACTGCCAGACTTCACAAATACTGCCAAATCTAATTTAGACATTTTTTCCTATGTATACATTAAAAATAGTTAGAATTATCATACTAGTGGTTTATCTTCAACTTCTTAATTCAAGTATTGTGAGGGAAAGTGATCTCATCTCCAAAATTGGATGAAATATGTCCAACTTAAGTTTTTTCCAAATTTTGCATTATGCAGCCTTAAAAAGGACTCAAATGAAAAACTAGTGGAATTTTTTTGTTAACTATTCACATTTTCAAATAGGAATAATTATTTGCTTATAGAGATAGACTCTCAAATAAATAAGGCTACATTCAATGAATGAGCTAAAATAGTCCCCAACATTTTACACATCTCTTCAAACAAAAACAACTTTTGTGCCAAAAAATGAATATAATGAGCACTTTGAGTAGACACAAACATTTAAAGTCAGGTTGAGACTTCAGCCCATGCAATGGAAGACACCACCAATAAAGTATATTCAGTCATTCTTAAAATTACAATCTATTATAGTTTACCAATAATTTTCTAAATCTGCCATCATAACCACATACCTCACTAAAAGTTTTCGTTTTTTTTGAGACAGTAAACCTGTTATTTTCTGAACACAAGACCGTATGATCCCTCTTAAGCTTTCTTTTCTAGCACAAATTCACTTGTAATACAGAGATTAATCCTCAAACAGTGCACATGAAGGTAAAACACTTTTACCCATCTGCCATTCTGTGTCAAAGTTACACTCCTATATCTACAAACACATCATTCACCTTTGTTTTTTGAGTGTTGCTTTCAGACTACATTTTCCACAGATTTTTTTTTTTTTTTTTTGAATCCTTCATGTCTGTCTCATGTAGTTCAGTAGTTAGTGAGGTCACTAGACCACTGGTCTGATTCAAGGTACATTTCCTGAGACCAGGCCAAATAAGACCATTTTAATAGACAATAGGTCACAAACTGTCCCTCCATTAAATTCTCTGTATTACCCTTAAGTGGTTGTGCTTATAAACATGCAGCTATTGCTTTACATTTTGTATTTAACTTAATTCTGACCAAAACACAATTTTCTGACTGCATTATAACAATAGAATCATAGAATCATACAATGGCGTGTGTTTGAAGGAACCTTAAGAATCATCTAGCTCCAGTCCTACGCTGTGGGAGAAGTTGCCACCCATTAGATCAGGCTGCCCAGGGCCCCATCCAACCTGGTCTTGGATACCTCCAGGGATGGAGGGCCACAGCTTCTCGTGGCAGCCTATGCTAGAGCCTCATCACCCTCTGAGTGAAAATTTTCCCCCCAACATCTAATTAAATATTCCCTCTTTTAGTTTAAAACTGTTCTCCCTTGCTCTATCACTATTAGTCCATGTTAACAGTCAGCCTCCCTCCTGTTTGTAAGCTCCTTTTAAGCATTGGAAAGCCACAATAAGGTCTCCCTACTGGAGCCTTCTCTTCTCCAGGCTGAACAAGCCCAGCTCCCTCAGACTGTCTTTGTGGGAGAGGTGTTCCAGTCCTCTGATCATCTTTGTGGCCCTCCTCTGGATACACTCCAATATAGCTGTATGACATTCATGCACCTAGACCTGAATACAATACTCCAGATGGGGCCTCACACAGTAGTAGTGCTGTGCTAGTGACCACCCTGCTGGCCATCCCTCTTTTGATGCAGTCCGGGATACAATTAGACCTTCTGGGCTGCAAGCACACACTGCTGACTTAAGCCCAGCCTTTCCTCCATTAGGACCCCCAAGTCCTTCTCTGCAGGGTTGCTTTCAATGAGTCCTTCTCCCAGTATGTATGTATGTGTACCCGAGACTGCTCCAACAATATGCAACACCTTGCTCTCACCTTTGTTGAATCTCATGAGGTTCATGTGGGCTCACTTTTCAAGCTTGTCTAGGTCCCTTTGAATGGTATCCCTTCCTTCTTGGTGTGATCAGCAAACTCACTGAGGGTGCGCTCAATTCCACTGTGTTATTGATAAGGATGTTGAAGAACACTGGTCCCAAGATGGACCCTTATGAGACACCACTTGTGATCAGCCTCCACTGAGACACAGAGCTGCTGACCACAATCCTCTGGTTGCAGCTGTCCAACCAATTTTTTATCCACTGTATATTCCAACCTTCAAATCTACTCAAATTCTTTCCAATTTAGAGATAAGGATGTAACAATAACGCTCTCAGGTTGTTTTCAAACATAATCAATATTTCAAAATATCTTACAGACCACTCTGTGCTGAATTCTGATTCTTTTTGATTCTTTTTTTGGGCATATTTGTCAGTGATGAGTACCTGATAAGCTCCAGTCTCACACAACAAAAAAATCAGGTTCCTCTTCAGGGAGGAAACAAGCCCTTTCTCTGTGTGTCTATACCTATGCAGAACTTTCCACTGGCCTTGGCTGGATCTCATAGTGCCAACTGTACAATTAGAATAATATGACACTGTGTGGAGAATAAGAAGCATAAATCAGTGGTGTTTTTTTGTTTGAATGGCATATGCTTTTTAATAGATATAGGCTGAAAGTATGCTGGCCCTGCACTTAAAACATCGCAAGACCTGTTCTTCCTAGTTTCAGAGATCTTGCTACTGTTATTATAAAAGTTAGAACTGGCTTTAGTTCCTGTGCCTTTTCAATTCTTGGGACCTAAAAAGCTGCTGACATTTCAAGTGACAAATCTAGGCTCCTCCAGTTCCCAGAAGATGAAGCATAGCTTCAGATAACATGTGAATCAGCTACTGCTGCCAAATGGAAATGGTGTCTTTTGGGGCTAAAACTTCAAAGAAAGGATCCTGTATTAGTAGCACTAAGTTTGCTGTACTTGCTGTTGTCTTGAACTTAAAAGCAGATAATAACGTTTGAATCTGGATATGTAGAAGATACCTTTCCTAACAGAACTCCCAGCTCCCACAGGAAAAGATGGCTTGGCAGCTGAGCTACAAAAGCTCTGTAATGACCTCTGTAATGTTTATTAGACAATGAAAAGCTGTGCAGGGGTAAAAAAAAAAAAAAAAAAAAAAAAAGGCAATGCACGTAGGTGGCAAGGTGGGTGAATATTATTTCTACCTATCCTTTCAGGTCCTCAGAGGAATCACTGGATATATAAATAAAAGCTACAAGCCACAAGAATTACTGGATATATAAATTAAGCTACAAGCCATTTCGCTGACTCTCATCAACCTTGTTAAGTGGTAGGGAATCAGGAGTTCAGTGCATTTAAGCATTTAGAGAAATAAAGCCACTGATTGGTTTATTGGACAAAGCTTCTTGGTATCTGAAGCAGCAAAATTCCCTTGTTCTAGTGAAACTGCCTATGCTATTTCTCATTTCTCTCAACAGGGTACTCTTTTACAAACCTTACTATGATTGAGATACAAAGTAAAGGACAGGGTGGGGAAACACAAATTATGACCTATGGGAGAGATGTTTAAAGAGGAGAGAAATTTGAATACAAGTGTAAGTACAAAAGTGGCAATATAGATAAAAATACAGGTCACATCTACTCACCACAGTCACTCTTGTTTTTATTGTGGTAGCACCAAGGGACTCCAGCAGTGGTATAGATTCCCTCTGTGTTCACTAAGGCTTGAAGACAGATTACAAATGCCCTAAAGAGCTTCCAACTTTTAGGTTCGGTTGAATTTTATTTAGTATCTTCATTGAATAATGTTTTTTAAAGAAGTTGCACTTCTTTGAAAGAAGGAAGACAGTAGAATATTTCATACCATCACAAAGGGAATTGTATCAGAAGCTACCTCTTATTCTGCTGCAAAGAGAGTAAATCTGTATTTATATCTGTTTTACTTTGATATCTTCAGAGATCGTGATATTTTCAGTTCTCTGGAAAGTACAGCCTTTCCCAATCCCCTTTTGATAAAATCTTATATAATTATGGAACAGCATTGTGTGGCTTTAAAGCAGAAGTATCCACTCTGTTCTGAAAAGTCTTGCATATGCTTAGGAGACTCCATGAATTATCTTCATCATCACAAAAAGAAGCATCCAATTAGAAAAAGACATCTGAAATTTAGAATGAGGGTATGGCATCCTACGGGGATTGGTAAAACAAGGAAAAATCATAATAACATGTTTTTGTTAGGCTGGTCTACTATTTAGTACCCATGTGACCATGGATCAGAAATGTCTTATTCACCAAATAATGTTTTTGCTTTTGTGGTCTGGATACAGTTACAAATTTACTGTGAATGACAATCTTGGCATATAAATGGTTAGCAGATATGAGAATCTTGGCATATAAATGGTTAGCAGATATTAATTCCAGAATTTAGGCAGGTGTCTTGTGCAATCTGATATATTCTGTAAGTATTTTTCCATATAAAATGTCTCACAGAAGGCTTTACAGCTAATCGTCCTTTGTACATACACAAGAGGATACGAATTGCAATATAATCTAAATTTGGCATATGTAGACATAGTACAGGTAGAGGCCAATGAATAAGGACCTACTGTAAAAGCAGATACTTGTAAATAACAGTTAATTAAGAGTTTATCAGCATGTCACTATGCTAAACAAACTCTCATATTTCAGTAAGGCATAATGTTGTGTGCAAGCTCAGCTGTCACATCTTATCGGAATGGAGACTTATGTGAGGTGTAGACATCATGCTGCACATAGCATTATGCTTTATGTGGGAGTAGCAGAGTAGCAGAAGTATGACAGGATGGTTCTGCAGTAAATCCTCATTACTACTTACATTTTGCAAAATTAAAGCCTTATGAAAATACTTGTTCCAAACAATCTCTTACCTTTAGGCTCCTTTTCCTAAAAAGAGAAAACGTGAAGTATCAATTTAAGTATTAAGTATTACTTCATGCTTAGTAACGCATCTTACACTATCAGAAGATGGCTTTTCACAACGCTAGAAATGTTATTGAACAAAGGAACAATGTCAATGACTACTACTGGCCATTCAACAGTGTGTGCTAGTCACATCAATGTGAGGAATGCTCTCTTTTCATTTACTTTTCTTTCTGTTCTACAGAATTCCCATTTTCTTCACCACAAAGCAGCAAAGATTGCTCTGCAATAACTGCCTGATATTAGTATCATTACAAAAAATCTTGTTTTCAACTCTTCTAGAACTCTTGTCTCAGGATTGGAAGTTTTTTTACTCATGCTTGGAGATCTGCTGGTATGGAGCTAAACAAGCAAACTGTATGAGAGTTATGAATTCTTTCAATATAAATATATCAAGAGAGGTGGGAAGGTGCAGGAAAGTATGTGTTTTTCTTGCTTCTACTGTTTCTTAAGCACGTAGTTATGGACATTGTTGGAGACAAACCCAATAAGGTTCTTCTATCATTATATAAAGAAATCTCTGAATTACAAGCTACTGGAGATCAGGATTTTCCGAGTCACATAAACTTGTCCTGTTCTTACATTTTCCTGTAGCTATTTGTTAATTGACCAGTGCTGGAGACAGGATGTGGTGCTACAGAGACTTTCTGATCTAGTATAGATGTTCTCAAACTCAAGAATACCTGTCTAACTCGGGATACTACCCTTTCAGTCACCATTTTTATCAAGACCATTCAGGGACATCTTCTAGTATATCTTTTTCAAACAACAGGTTATCTCTGAAATTGGTAATTTCGAAAAAAGACTGTGACTGTGGCTTGGTTCCACAGCTGCAGAGCTCTGAAATCCCCACACTACCCACAGTCTCACAGAATAGAAGACCCTTAAAAAAAATTGTCTCAAAAATGTTAAGAACAGTTGTTTTCGTGAAATACCCTTTTATCTTCAAACATTGTCTTTTGGTACAAATCCTGTACCTAAGATGTACAAATGTCCGCTTATTATGTGGCTTAAAATAAACAAACAAAGGACAACTGAAGATTTGTAGTGGGCCCTTTTGTTTAATTTCCTGAAAATACAGAAGTGGCTTCTTGGTGGGACTTTCCAGATGTATGTACTCAAGTCAGTTTTCTCTGAAACCACAAAAATGTCTAAAAGTTTATGTCTCTTTGTAGTTGCACATTTTAGAACATTTCTGATTCTCTGTTAGACAGAATTTGATGATGTATTACAGGAATGTGTACTTCATTTTTTTTCTTAATGCTAAAGCTAACAAAGGATGATTTTCAGAACATATCCAAGTCAGTCATCTAAGCTCTTTTTCAGAAGTAACTTCTGCATTCAGAAGCCTAAGTCCCAATGAAAATTTATGTAATGTCCTCATGAGATGATTAATCAAGGAGATAAATGTTTCAAGTAATTAACTGGGACTGTTTTCAAACTGGGATACATAGTGTCACCTGCGATCACCAACTAAACTTGCAGGAAAGGCTTTTTTCTACCAATAGTAATAACACATCCAAAATACATAGAAAAAGTCTACAGAAATTACCAGAACAGGAATTAAAAATCAATTTTAATTGAGAGGCAGAGAGAATTGGTTTTACTGTCCCCTATACTGTGAGAATTATTTACATCCATGCATAAAAGCACAGTGAATGGGAGTAAGATTCTCCAAACCAAAGTTCCTTTTACTGACAGTAAGTAACAAAGTAGCAGACATCCAATTTTAGCATTCTCTACATAACCTCTACAGATATGAAGTTCTTTTCATATTTTATCACTGAAATGAGTTCCTGGACTTTGTTAATGAAGACCTAGTTGACTATAAGATAATACAGTCAAATGGAAAAGAGAGAGAACATACGCAGAACTTCAGAACTAACAGCTATATTGGGGAAAGACATCACAAGTAGCATGACTAGGGAGTGTTAAAATCTCTTAATCTGAGTCTGCATTTGATTTTATACATAAATGATACAAAGATTGATTTTCTATATTATTCTAGTTTTCAACAGGATCATAAGCAAAACAATTTTTCAGTAAAGGCAGGCAGGAAGGAAGGAACTACCGGAAGCAGAGCCATTAAGGGCTTTTTTTCCCCCTCTTCTCCTCAAAATAGCGCAAGGGAAATAGCAGCTGAGTGAAGGAATCAATTTCAAGAAGTTTTCAGGAGTTTGCATGGAAATTGATCAGTTATGACTGTATGTACTTGTCAATTTTTTGGTACAATTTCCTGAAGTAAGTTGCAAAAGCATAGTCGCTTGTTGCTCTGATAATAGTTTTTACAGTCATTTTGCTATGTTAGCTCTTGCTATCTGTCTCAAAATAGTGATAAAATTCCAGGTTAAAAAAAAAAATAAAATTCCTCAGACCAGGAAAACAGAACTATTTTTGGATACTACAATTTCACTACTGTTTTTAAGCATGTCTGAACATATGGCTCAGATTTTTTGGCTATTTTACAAAAATCTTGAGTGTATCTGATACAGAAATGGTCTAATTCATCTGTGAGATGAAACTCAAAGAATGTTTACTCTGAAATTCAGTATATCTTATAGCCTGATTCATAAAATAAATATTTGACAGATTTTTGTCTCCAGGAGAATATGGCACAAGTTGTACTCCTACATTTGCAGAAGAATGGTTATCAAAGACTATACAGTTCTCATAGCTATCAGAAAGTTGCTGTCAATGGGTCAGTGTTCAAGTAGAGACTGGTGATAAGTGGCATTCCTCAGGGATTGGTGTTGGAACTGGAGTTATTTAACACATTTGTAGGAGACATGGACAGTGAGATTGAGTGCACTTTCAGCAAGTTTGCAGATGTCACTAAGCTGAGTGGTGCAGTCAACACGCTAGAGGAAACAGATGCTATCCAGAGGGACCTGGACAGGCTTGAGAGGTGTGCCCATGCCAACCTCAGGAAGTTCAACAAGGCCAAGTGCAAGGTTCTACTGCTGGGGCTCTTCACCTTGGAGAATAAAAAGTCTCCGAGCAGACCTTATAGTGGCATTCTAGTACCTGAAGGGAACCTGCAGAAAAGCTGGGGAGGAACTTTTTATAAGGACAGGTAGCAACACAATGACAAAAAATGGCTTTGAACTGGAAGAAGGTAGATTTAGAGTAGATATCAGCAAAGAATTCTTTACTGTGAGGGTGGTGAGACACTGAAACAGGTTGCCCAGTGGAGTTGTGAATGCCTCTTCCCTGAAAGCATTCAAGGCCAGGCTGGATGGGACTTCGAGTAAATTGGTCTAGAGGAACGTATCCCTGCCTATAGCAGGGTGTTGAAACTAGATGATCTTAAAGGTCCCTTCCAATGGAAAGCATTCTATGATGGCTATGTAACACACCTCACAGATTTCCAGGAATCAGACTTATGTACCCTTGAAGTCTACTGTGCATACTTAATAGAGCAAGTATTTTTGTAAGTTTCTAGTAACATTATCACTTTCTTAAAGAATTCTAATTTTTGACAAAAGAGTCCAAACTGGATGCTCCAAATCCCTTGTAACTTGCAAAAATTTGTCTCTCAACATTATACTTCTAAAATAATGTCTACTGCTTTAGACTGAACAACAAGGAATGTGTCAGTAAAGATGAAAGTCTTATTAACAATGTGGTACATACTCAGTCTTGAGATGCTGTAATCACAGTTTTGTTTCTCTGTTACACGAAGTGTAGCGATTTATTCCTATGTAGGATGAATATGAATTTATACCAAATCTGAGTTGCACTTTACTAGATGCTGACATTCTTAATGAAATTTTGCTCCATCTATTCTTGGGTTAAACTTCTCAGCAACACAGACTAGGAAGTCTTTATTCAGAGTGAGATACAAGGGAAGGTTCTGGAGACAGAATAAGGCAGATAAGTTGCAGAGATTTTCTCAAGGTATGATTGCAAAACTTCTTTGCCAACAATTACACCCATCTTTATAATGATGCTGGTGAATCCTCTTCACAGCAGCTGCAGAGGTAGCTTCAAGGAATGTTTCTGCTCTAATAGTTATCTCCTTTTTTTTTTTTTTCTTTCTTTTCTTTTTTTCCATAGAGAAATCCAGAGAGGATTGTGATTCAGTGAGCAGCTGATTGATTCACCTCTTCCTGTTCTCACTCAGAGGCCACAGTATATAAGCAGAAGGTCACAGGCCATATGGGATGGAAGCCATGCTCCAAAATAAGTACTTTCCTCAGAATGCATGCAGAGAGGAACATCAAGATATGTGCCTCTTCTTGTGTTCAATTCAACACAGAATTTGGCTCGAGTGTAGCAGAAACGTTTTTGGACACTGAGTAATATCACAATTCCACAGTAAGCAAGAAAAAGGAAGTAGTGTCATTATATTTAATGACTTCTACATTTAAAAATATCTGTGAAAATTCTTGACACAGTAAGGAAACACAAAACATACAGCAATTGTTTGGAATTAAAATTCATATACAAATATTCAAGAAAGTCTGGGCTGAGTTTATATCCAACTCAAAATATATACAATAATATATATATATTATAATAAATATATGTATAATATATATTTCCCTATGCTTTACAGGCACTTGGATCTAGTATGTACGTGACTACCCAAAGCAGGCAGAATTGTTTAATTTAGCTTTCTATATACAACCTGTAGGTTAGGAACAGCGGACAGTACTCTGCAATTTTACTGATTGTTGTCTGTTTACCATAATTACAGAGATATTTTAAACTTCCGCATTTTGTTGTAGGCATAATATTAGGTAGGGAATAGCAGCAGAACATTTTGAGTAGTCTGTTATTGTGGATACATCCTGAGGACTAGCTGATGCTATTTTTAGTCACTATGTGGTTAACTGTGACTAGACTGAGGATGTTATTTTTTTGTTCAGTGTTTGAAGTTGCAAACATTGAATTTTGCAGTCTGAAATTGCTGAATTAAAAAAAATATATATCTGAGTTTTAATTAAAAGTTATGCATATGAACACAGATATTTTCCTATTACTGGTCTATATTGCTGTAGCTCAATTAAATTCATTTAAGTTTCTGTTGAAGTAAGTCAGCTGAATAAGATAAAAATGTAAGTTCATAAGCCAATTCCAATATATCCATTATTAAGGCTATATCCTTAATCTATGATTTATACATATGTAACTGTATACATTTTCGTGTGTGTATATATATGTATATACGTATATATGTATATATGTATATATGTATATATAAATGTGTATGTATGTATATATACATGCATATAAGTGCTGCCCTGAAAGTAATGCCTCCTATTTTATTATGTTGGCTGACAAAGTCAGAGGCAGATGGTGGTGGTATGGCAGTAGAGGTTGAACCTTCCCACAGATATTCCATGCCATGTTGCCAAGCAACAGATGGCAGCAGAGAGGCAGCCTGACAAAATGATGTCTCACACGGAAGCGGGTATGAAGCAAAGCAGTGGAACTGAATTCCTCCATGTGGAAAAAAATGGCACCCACCGACATTCACTTATGCTTGCTTGATGTTGGTAGAAATAGAATTAAAGAAAGAACATTGTAAAGCAACTGAAATTTAAGAAAAGTATACACGAATCAGGTGTATTCACAATTACTGGTCTGTACAAAGGACAAATAATTTAAAAAATGTTTTAAATTCATTTGTATTCTTATTTGCAAGGACTTGATTTAACATTTTGGATTAAGCTGTGACTGCCATAACCTCTTAATTTTGTGGCTACCATAAGTAGCAGTTACAATTGCAGCCTCTGTTCTAGGAAATTCAGGAATTTCTTTTGTGCAGGATCAGTGGCCCAGAGGCATGATGAGGTAGAGAAGGAAACAGAATCATGCTGCCACTCCATTTAAATCTAAGATAAATAAAATCTTTGTCCTATACTCTGTGTTGACCATACCCATATGACCTTGTAATGATTCCTATGCTGTTCAGAGCCTAACAGAAAACTTGGCTGTATTTTGTAGAATCTGGATAGCTGACATTGGCAGGGATTTCTAGGCATCTTCCAGTCCAGCTCCCTGCTCAAGCAGAGCCAGCTAGAGCAGGTTGCTCAGGGCTTTGTCAATTGACTTTTCAATATCTCCAAGATGACCCCTCTGGATAATTCACTCCATCATAGAAAGGTTGTTCTTATATGTAAATGGAATTTCCTGTATTTCAATCTGTGACCATTGTTTATTCATTGAGAAATACTGCAAACAGTCTCGTTCCACTCTGACCCTACTCCTCTCTAGGCTGAAAAATCCCAGTTCTCTCACACCCTCCTTGCACGGCAGATGTTCCAGTCACTGAATCATTATCATGGCCCTCTGCCAGACTCAATCCACTAAGTCCATGTCTCTTGTACTTGGGCCTAATACTCCAAATATGGCCTTTCCAATACTTAGTAGAGGGAAAAGTTCATGTTACTCAGCCTGTTGGCAATGCTCTTCCTACTGTATACCAGGATGTTGTTTTGGACTTCTTTGCTACAAGCCCACATTGCTGGCTTTTATTCAACTTGTCTGCCAGTACGTACAACTGAGTTTTTGCAAAACTGCTTTCTAGCCAGTTGCCCCAGCTTGCGCTGGTTTACAGAATTATTTCTCCCCAGGTGCAGGAGTTTGTACTTCACTTTTTGGAACTTTACAAGATTCCTGTCAGCCTGTGGAGATCTTTCTTAATGGCAGCACAATCACCTGTTGTGTCAGTTGTTCCTCCCCATACTGTATTATCCTGCAAAATTTCTGAGGGTATCCTTTGGTCCCTCGTCTGTACCGTTAATGAAGATATTAAACACTATGAAGCATTAGCTGTGGCTCTTAGCGGTAGTTGTTAGAGTTAGGATAGTATGGTTAGGCTGTGGTTGGACTTGATCTTTAAGGTCTTTTCCAACCTGAGCAGTTTTAGGATTCTATGACCACACTGAGAAGAAAATTAGCCTGGAAGTGGCTGCAACGGGTAATGATTATCTGCTTCTGTTTGTTATGAAACATATGACTTTATAATTGCTTCCTAAAAATGATCATTCCTCTTCACCATCTCCCCATATTCTCCTTCTCTTTCCAAGCAGGAAAAATCATATAGACTCATTCTTATCTGAGCAACTTCTTCATTTTTCTTTGTAATCGTTCTTTTTCATTGTCCATCTCATTTATTGTACTTGGCCAGTACATCAATGTCTACCAGCTGCCAGCTGTTAAAGGAAAATAAGAAGATGCATCCATGCTGAATTGTTTCCCTGTCTGTCATGAAAACAGTTTGCATTCCACACAAAAAATTCATTCGTGGTGTAAGGGAATTGACGTCAGTACTGTTACACCCAGAATGACTTTGGCCCTGCATATTCATTATGCAATACTTTCAGATGCAGAACTCCATCATGAACAAATGACTGCCAGATGTGAGAGTAAGATCTGCTCCTTTTTGTGAGGTCTATGAACATATTCCCATATGTGGACTGCAAATTTTCTCAGTGTATAAATCTATATATTCTTCAAGAATAACTATGCAGAAAATATTTTAAATGTCAATATAAAAAACAATATAAAAAACAATAACAAATAAAAACCTATATTTATTGCTTCAAATGCTTCAGTATTTGAAAGTACACTAAACTGAGAAGAGCTGTTGACTCCCTCAAATGTGGAGAGGTCTTGCAGAGAGATCTTGACAAATTAGAATGTCTGACGACAAGATAGAAGGCTGTACAAAGACACCTGTATTTAAAGATGATCTTGTATTTCTGCATTTATTCATATAAGCAAGCACCTGGAAGTCCTGCATATTCACTTCTCCTACAAATTACACCTTGATCTCTTGATTCTGGAGGTCATCATAATAAGGCACTTTACAAGGATATTTGACCAAACAGTGTTTTCTTTCCATTTATTTCTTCCCTTTATGGTAAATCTTTTGGATTGCTGGTTCTCCTTGAAAAGATCTTCTCACCTAAACAATTAATTTTACAATTGCTTTTTCCTTCCTACTTCCTAGGATGCTAATACTACCAATATTGCCTTTAAGCAGTTTACTGCAGAAAATAAATAGCTCAAGAGGAAACACTCTTTCCAGCTCGTGTTTTCACTGTTAGCAAAGATGAAATCTGAATAAAAATGTGTGTGATAAGTGGAAAACATTTTTTGCACTATCCTCTATTTTAATTTGCTCTTTGTTCTAATCCTTTGCCCAAGTACCAAACACTTTGGATTCTCAGTATTTATGCCTGTGATCAATGTATCACACATGCAGTTAATTCTCATACTGCATGCAACTGCATGCAAAAGTCAACACATTATTGCACGACTTAGACTCTGCTTGCAGTACATTCAGCACTGAAGCTGAACCAATCTCCAGCACAGACTGGAGAGATTAAACTCAATTTAAATCATGTCCAACCTCTTGGCTTGCTTAGGCAATACTGAGTGAAGAGGAATTGTCTTGAGCCGCATATGAAATACATAACAGTGTACATACGGTTAATGTATTTAAGTGGCAAAACTTATTTTAAAAAATATTTTTAAATTCTGTTGTTAAAACATAAAAAAGAGGACAACAAAAGATAAAAGTTTGGTTTTGTGAAAACTAATTCACAAGTAAGTTGAAACACAGCACAGGTAAGTTGATTTTCACCTTAAAGGTGCATGTTTAACTCGTTTAAATGATCGGTCAAATACGTAAAAAATGCTGAATCTGTGAGCCATTTTTCATCTTCAAGTTCTGGCACAAATTTTCCTTCTGAATCCATAAATGGCATATTTCATTTTGCAAATCATACAATTTTTTTAAGCATTTTATCCTGGCTTAGACACACTGCTTCAGAAAAGTAAATGATACTCCTATAATCATCATCTACAGTTTTAAAGGAACTCCTGGAACTGGCAGAAACACTAATTAAATACATATAACTAAACTGGTTAAAAACATATTGCAAATTATTTTATATTCTTCATGAGTTTTTTTAGATGTTGAAAATTACAAAATTTTCAGTGCAACTGAAGTACTCTTGATATTTCTTCCACAGTCAATGTCTTCTAAAATTATTTTACTCAAGCCAGAGATTAATAATTAAATAAGAAAACTTACACGTCTGCTTGATGACAAAAAAACTCGTGTCATCACAGGCACATATACATGTAGGCGGGTCGAAATAATATTATTGGCAATCATTGTGTTTTGTTTGCCAGATAGCACAAGCGCTACCTGGCACAAGTGCTAATGTAAGGCACAATGCACGAGGGTCCTTATTTGACTGAGCATGTGTGGTGGGCACCAGAGGCAGAGTTAGCACTGCACTGTGCCCTCCCCTTCACAGAGTTCTATTGTTGCATATACAGCCTGAATTCAACCTACACACAATCAACTCATGAAAAAATATCACTAAAAATCCCATAATTATGCCAAAAGTTTAAGATCTTATTGGTCTACGTTACCAACTGTTCAGGGCTGCATGTGGCCCATAGGCCACAGGATGGACATGCCTGCTGTAAATGATAACAGCTTAACCTGACTGCATGATATTAACAGTAGAGTCTGTCCCATTCCCACTGGCCTCACTGTTTACTACCTGTGTTTTAAAACCAGACTAACTGATAAGAGGATTTTTACAAGTAGCACTATTCTTGAACATCATATTCAGCATGTGGTAAATACAACAGCATGAATCAATAAAAAAATTATTAAACCTTTCCCAGACTTATTAATAGTGGATTTTGGCTTAAAATACCCAGACCACTAAAATTACTCAGTTATCCTAGATATGTACATGCCTTACAGTTTCTGCTATTCTGTACACATTGAAGTTTATGGAAATTCAAGGGAATTAGCAAAAGTAATATTTGGACAGTAAACAGCAGTAGAAGGTATGACTTTTCAATATATAGTGCTAGTATGTTTCTTTTCCTGTACCTTTCACCAACAAGACATCTCTCATTGCATTTCTACCTCAGCCCTGCTATCCAACCCAATATTTAATTTTTATAGTCTTAATGCAAATAACAAAA